AATAAGTTGGGTAGAATACAACTTTATTTGCTACAATTCTGTAGTGACATGATAATTCACCAACTCTGAGGAAGAAGTATGACTGTAGTAAGTTTCTAGATACAAGAAAAAATCCTGTGGTTATATGATAAAAAAATTCTGAGTGGATTAAAAACTTGACATTCATAGGATTTATTTAACCTAATGTTCACTTAAGAATTAATTCAAGAAAGTCTTTATTAAACTCTTTGAAACATATGTATCATTAAACCAGAATGGCAAAACAAGGAAAAACATCACTCTGACAATTTCCAAAAAGAATACAAACTATTGTTAACAGTTTTAAATTACACAAATCTCTGGACAGGAGCCAGATGCAACAGCCATACTCCCCTCATATATTCCTAAAAGTCACCTGATCATTACCAAAAGAAAAAAGCTTCGTATATCCTCTAATCAATTCTGGGATATTTCAACCACCCAAATACTTAATGTTAATTGTTCCACAAAAAATAGTCATAGTTAGAATCACTTATACAGCTCACCAAGGTTTTCTAGATGTTCACCCAACATGCTTTAAAAATTATTTTATTTACTTTACTTTTTTCTTTATATCTTAGGCTTAATTATGTTATCCTTGACTCTAAAAGTAATCATACTAACAGTATTTTCTAGGGTTTTAAAGTGGTCTTTTTTTTTATACTGTAGCTGTTATATTCAGGAAGTTGTGCACACTTGTTTCTGGAAAAAGTGTTTTTCTTAAACTTTAATACACTATAAAACTGTAACTGGAACAACCTTTACCACCACTACTAAAGTTCTAGTAATAGCAAACACAAACCTTTACTGAGTACTTGATTTGTGCCAGTCCTATCACTCACAGAATCTTACAAAGAGCTATATTATTAGCCCATTTCATAGACTGGGAAATAGACTCCTGTGGTACTTACTATTCTGTCCCATAACAATCATCTAAAACACCACTGTGTAGTTAGGGAGATAATCAAACTCACTCTATACATAATGCCAATTCAAGGGTATTAAGATTTTAACAGGCACTTATTTAATTTTGAAATATATGTAAAATGTTTCACTTTTCAAAATAATGATTTAAGTACCAACAGAATTGCATGTGTAAGAAAAGATAAAATTTTTCCCACTTCTGTCTATACTATATTAAAGCCCTGTCTTAGAAGCTACCAAGCTAAGCTTATCATTTCATTGGCAATCCACAAAAAAAACTGAAACAGAAACTCTTTAACATTTACTTCATATGCCATGCCATACCTCAAATTATACTGGTCGAACTCTAAAATGTACTATATTATTTTTAATGGAGAATGGGAATCGCTGATTCAAAAACATTTAAAGCATCATATATATTTTTTCCCTAAAATTTGTCTCCTAGGTTTTATAACTTTAACTTTCACATTAATCAGCACATTCTAAATAAATGCATACTTAAGATACATAACTAAGTAACTTCTATTCACGGTTCCTAATCATCTCTGACTTTAAGACCACCAATTAATTTATGAAAACTAGTATTTAAACCATAGTGAAAAACATACTAATTACAGCATAGAGGCACGCTACAATGTGGTGTCTCCAAAATCATCCTTGCAAAGAAATACACTCCAACCTGAGAATGCCCCTATCAAAAGTGTTTAGAAAATTTTAAAATCAACATGATCTCTATATCTTTTCTGGGTTTTTGAATAATCAAACTCCAAAAAGAAAGGGTTGAACTCTTAGAGACAATGAATTGCTATTTCTAGTTCAAAAATCAGATTTTCAGATTAGAAAAATTTTAATTCACTTATTACACAAATGAGATAGCAGGGGCCCCCAGAAATTCTGACTTGTCTGAGATTTGAACAAATTTGCAAAATATGAACCCAGTTTAGGGGTGAAGGATGCCTTTGTAGAACAAGAAATGTGATCACAGTCCCAAGTCTGGGAAAAATGCTTAAAATTTTGGCCTCAAGATCTCATAAATATGTAATCACTACTAATTAAGGTGGTAACTTAATTATGGAAACTAAGAAATAAACAAGTAATTGTCCAAAAATTAGTTTTCTTATTCTACAAAAACCTTGCCCACTAAGCCTGGCTCCATTAAAAAAATAAGAATTCTGATAAATGCTTTTTAAAAATGCCCTTCTGCTTTAAATTCAACCCCGTATTTTTAAAAATATAAAATTGATTAGATACATACCATGGAATAAAAAAAAAAAAGAAAAACAAAAACAAAACCCTTTAACTTCACGTCAAAAATATTTTAAATCTTAGGGTGTATGGTAATAACCACAATACCTCCATCAGTAACACTCAAAATGAATCTGTTTTTTAAAAAAATCTGTAAACTTTTAAAAACTCACAAAACTCCACTTTCCTCTTGGTCAAAACTCAATCACTGTGATTCTATCTGCAGGCTGACTACAGATGCTAATCTACACCTATCTTAAGATCATAAATACAAATATTACATCCTATTCCAAATAGGAACTGTAATTTTACAGTTTTTCCAAAACTGTAATTTTAGATTTTTCAAGAAATTTAATCTGACATGTGAATTCCTCCATTTAAACTATTACTTAATTATCAGTAACACAGCAACAAATTTCCAGGTAGAGGTAGACCCTACTGAAACTGCAAACAATAGTCATTAGTTTGGTTTCACTCGCCAAAATAGTCTTCAAACCAATGTTAAATGGAAGCAATTTAATAGGAAACAAAGCTAAACGTGTTTAAGTTGTAAGAATAATTAAGACAATAGAGAATAGTATACAAGGGTATGAGTGGTTCACCTAGGTAAAATTTCAAGATCCTATTATTAAACAAAAACAGAGATACTTGGTTTTGTTCCAAAATGCTTTTAGAACTAACTAAATCTCAAAAAGTCTTAAGTTAAACCAAATACCCATACACATCTAGATACACTTTGATGGAAAGGAAAGCACCGTGAATGATGCTTTGTATCCAGAATATAGAGTGAGCAATATGCTGAATGAATAAAAAGAGAAAATAAACCAGACAACTCTGATGTCTAATGAGAATTCTTAACTATCTCATGAGTATGCCAACATGACTGATGTGGTATAAAGCTGAAAACACTCCAAGTAAGAAGAACCACTTCCATGCAAAATAAGTGGATTTTTATAAATGATACCTTTAAAGACACTGCTTATTGTGTCCTAAGTTTTAAGAAAGAGAACAGGAAAATAAATTCATTTTATTATACTTGAGAGATGAGAAACCTCAAAAAATTAAATAAAATAAAAATCAGCACTGGTAGCCTTGTTATTATTGGAGAAACAAAATGATATTCCTACAAGGATTAGACATTCCCATTATTTGGCAGATACCATTAGCCACTTCATTTTAAAAATACAAATATAACATTACCAACTGTCTCCAAGAAGATAGAAATCTTCAATTACTTTGGTTTTGTGGGTTTTTATAAGATGCAAAAATGAATTTTGTAAAATCTGCCCAATTCTTAAAAATGGAAAATCATAATCCTTATATCTGTCAAATAACAAGGAAGACATAGAAATCCACTTGAGATTTTGTCAAATTATTACAACCTAAAAAGTTAAATATTGCAGTTATTGAATTTGAGTTGGCTTCAAACTCTATTCATATTGGCCAAGAACTGAATGAAACTGGCCTAAGTCACTACTTGAAGGCTGTTAAGTTTCCATTAAATTTACTAAACCTAAGTACCCTTGCTTATTTCCACAGTTGTGAGCACTTACCAACAACCTAGACTAAATCAGAGATTTGATGCATGTTAAATGCTCGACATCCAAATGAAACGAAAGCCATCAAAATCATGTCATGCTTTCACCTCACAATACATTCAATTCTAAGCTACATTTGAAACTTCCCAATTGTTTCAGAAGCCCTCATTAAGAAAATCATTATTAACTATATCAAACATCAGTTGCAAATGTCTCAGAAAATCAATTCACTGCATAGATTTCAAAGGCTGATTCATAGCGTGTGAGTGCTTTAACTACCCTCACACCCACTTATTCAAACAACCTAAATCAGTTTAGAATAACATAGAAAACATAAACTCTCAAAGTGATAGGTCCACATTTAAACGTCAAATTCTATAAATTACTAAAATGTTCACCTTGAAAACTCAAAAAATTTAGTAGGTATTTTTAGCTATTTACCTACTTATCCCAAGATAATCTAAAAAACTTTTACAAGCCAAGTTCCATCCTAAGTAAATACATCGATAAAAATCAAAACTCTTCAGTGGCCTCCAATAACAGTTTTTAATTGAGCAAGGAGCCATAACACGAACATTAGCGATATTAGAAAAAGCCTGCTAAACCTCTGGTTTTAGGATTATTACTGGCTTTACACTTCTGAGTGTTTCGTACACGCAAGATGTTCTGCTGGCCAATTACCATCACACATCTGAACCCCTCCAACAAAAAAAAAAACAGGCTCTGAATTTAGAGAGAGCAAAAGAAAAAGCAAAGTAAAAATATATGGTGTGTCGCCAGGACTCCGCGGCGACGGAATAGCCAGCTTGTGAAATGCTAATGCCACTTCGAAGCAGTTAGTCACCAGCTATTGTGTGGGGCTGGAGAAAGCCGAGCGGACCGCGCACGCAAAGCGAGCGAGCGCGCCCTCTTCCCTCGCGCCGCTCCCGCCGCCGCCAGCGCCGCCGCCTCGCGCGCCCCCGCGTCCGTACGGACGCGCGCGCCGGCCCCTCCTCCTCCGGCCTTGCACTGCACAACACTCATGACGTATCTTTATTTCTAGCACATTAACAAAATATCACAAATAAATTGTCGGCAGCCCCTGCGGCCCCAGGGTGCAGGTACCCCCGGCCACTGCTGCCCGCAGCCTCCGTGCCGGCCTCCCAACCCTTCCCCTGGCCTTTGGAGCTTTCACGTTCTGGGGCCAAGTTTTTGTCTCTGTAAAAAATTGCGGGAAATTCAATTTTTATTCGACTCGGGGAAAAGTTTCTTTGCTCCGCGACGTGAATGTCTCACCAGATTCTGGTAGGTCCTGGGATGCTCCTTCCCGGTCCAGTCGGTGCGTCGGGGCAGCAGCTGCGGGGAGAGGACGCCCCGTTTAGCCGGCCCCCGGCCCCAGCCCACCCGCTCCCCTCCCCCGCCCGCCCCTCGCCCCGGCTGGGACCCCAAGCCCGGCGCCCCACGCCCCAGTGGCGACGGCAGCGGTGGCGCCGAGGCCCAGGGGCAGCCGCCCAGCAGCAGGACACAGCGGGCCACCGCCGCCCTTACCTCTTTCTCGGCCACCTCGCGGATCAGCACCTGCAACAACAAAGCGGGGAGAGCTGAGCCCCGCGCCCCGGGCCGCGGCCCCGCCACCGCCGCCGCCGCCCTCCCCCACGCCCGCGAGCGGAGAATGCCGGCCCTGCCCGTGCTGCGCGCCGTCGTACCTGAGCCGCCTGCTGACAGGGTCCATCTTCCAGGAACCGGGCGATGAGGAAGTAGAGCTCTGCGCGGGAGAGAAGGACGGGGAGACACACAAGCTAAGCGGTCGGGCGGCGGGGGGCGGGGGACCTCGAGCGGAATCGCCCGGTGCCAGCGGCCCCAGCAGCCCCCCGACTTACCCGATCGCAGCTCCGAGAGGCCTTTCCTCTCACAAGACATGTTTATGGGTCACTTAAAGGCCGCTGGCGGGACACCCCGCCGCCGACGGGAAGCGGGGATGGTGCCGCCGCCTGCCCTATAGCTGTCACTGTGTGTTCACGAGCCGAGCTTCGGCTCCACCATTCAAGCAACGGCGGCGGAGGCGGAGGAGGAGGAGGAGGAAACAACAACTCTCAGGCAGCAGCTACAGCCGCCGCCGCCTCCGCCGAAGATCCCTCCGCCACAGAAAAGAGTCCTCCACCTTCGCGGTCCGGGCTCGGCCGGTCCTCGGCCCGTGCCCCCGCCCCCTGGCGCAAAAAAGGAGTGCCTCCGACCCTGCGACCCCAGCGCCCCTGTACTTGGCCCGGTGAGACCCCCACCCCCTCCTCCAAGGCTGAGGGTGCGATTTATTTATTTATTTCCAGCGGAGAAGATGTCGGAGCTACAACCCCGGGTTGGCTGGGAGGTGCTTTCTCTGTGGAGGCCCATCGGAGGAGGGAGGGGGCCAGTCACTGCTCTGCGGAGGGATCTGACGCACACGGTGCCGCAGCACAAGCTCTATTCAGTGGCGCTGCTGGGGCTGAGATGGAAGTTAGTTTCTATGTAGCAGAAATAGGAAACAAATGAAGCAAAACTGCCCAAAGAGGGGAAATGCCCCGAGGATGGGTCTCACTCTCACGCGCGCACGCAGACACACACACACAGCGCACTCACATGCTGGGCAAACTCAGGGTCTCGCTACCCTGCCTGAGTTGAATGATAGTGTTTGGTTTCTGTCTCTTGCCATGTGCATGTGTATAAATGCTGCGGACTAGGATCTGTGTAAGTCCTGTCCTGCGTTATTTCTGCAGCCTATGCAAAGTGTTGTGTAATTTATTGGAGGGCTTTATGTTGTGATAGAGGATCGGGCGCTTTTTATTAAGCACTTGGTTTGCTAGACCGGTATTTGCTGAAGCCACCTATGCACATATCTTTCATTACTGCCGTTGCCTTAAGCATACATTTTACAAATGTTTTTATTGTTGTTTGGGCAAAGCGAACTCCTGATCTGTACTTCAGATACTCTCTTTTCCTGATTACAAAAAGGCTAATAATGGCTAATTAGGGATTCAGGATTAAAGAACCTTAAGCTTTTTTTTTTTTTCTTAGTGTTTACCAGAAGGAATAATGTAAACATGAAAGAAAGGAAAGAACACTAATATTTATCCTAACTGATCTGGAGGTAATTTAGTGACAGATCAATAACCTACCGAAGGATATTGAAACAGTATACTACACTTTAGCCAGGGTGATTAGTAATTAAATAATTTAAATAATCTGTGAATCTTGTCGACTTCGTCATCCTAATTAATGGCTTCTAATTTGAGGTGTAAACCATTCCTGTTTACAGTTAATCAAGGGAAGACTTCTTGTAAACTGACAAAAAGAAAAATTAATCTTTCGTAAATTAGTATGTAATTACCGGTTTTATGTGCTAAATCATACATCTCCGTTTTGTGATGAGGATAAGGGCCTTGTTTGTTGAAGAAGAATATGAGTGAAATTAATAGAAACAATGGAAAAAGACGTTTGTTAGAAAACAAGGACACTAAGTGATATTTATCTCCAGATGATTTAAGCACTTTTCAAAAAGACTTGAGAGTTGAATTTTTTTAAGGATTGAATTTTAAAGGGAGTTTGGATAGTCGTTCTTTTGTTAACATTTAACAAAAGATCCTTCTTAAAATTTTTAGATAATAAAGTACATTTCATAGATCTGGTCTAAAAAGGTTATTTGTGGGGAAAGGACCAACAAGCTGTATTGTGATTTTCTAGATTGTTTCCTCAAGCCTTGTACCCGTCTAGCTCCTAAATATTCCTAGTGGGAAATACTTGATGCCACTGCCTTGGGCTGCACTGCAAGACTGCATCAGTGTGATGACCTGTACTAAAACATCCAGAAATCATCATACATGTAATGAAGAAGAAAAAAAGCTTAAACCTCCTTGGAATAATACAATGTAAAAATTGCCTCTTATAACAATCAAATAAAAAAGAGAAGTTACCATGAGTTGTCCCATTGCAGCAAAATTATCAGAGTAACTTACTTATTGAAATGGCTACCCTTCAAATATTGAAAATATTTGCATTTTTAAGGACAGTGATTCCATTCTAACTATTATAGGTAAAGTAACTTGCTTCTAAATGGTTAGGTTTGAAAAGACAGACATTAAATATCCCTTTATGCAGTTCTGTTTATTTCTGTGACTGATGCTTTCTAGTTTGTCTTTTCTTTTTAAAAAAGATTTTATTCTTCAAATAACTGTAACATTTTATATTATGATGTTCTTTAAATAAACAAATTTTAAGAACTAGGTATTGTAGTTAGAATCTTGTGGTTTTGAAATGTACTAGTCTGATTCTTACCAATAGATATTTTATCCTTGTGAAAGAAAATAAACCAAATTATGACATGGAATATGAAATTACCCTGGGTAAAGTTTTCCATATATATCTGGTGACCATTATGTAAACACAGAAAGCTACTATGATCATCTCATGTGTGTTTTTCATTTGTAAGTTACAAAAGCTATTCCTAAGTACGCTAGTATATTTAGCTCCTAAATTTTTAAAGGAAAATTCCCCTTCTAAGTTTTCTGAATATGATGTTCCCATCATTTTGACTAACCTTTGACAATGTTTATACTTTCTTTTCCAAAGATGTAATTTGAAAATGGTGTCACCCTGCTTTTGTTGAACTAATTTATAACTATCAGTCTGTTTTAAGAACATATATATATTAACTGCGAGAAAGTAAAACTTCTCTTCAGCCAAAGTATTTGTTTTTTACAGTGTAAGTTAAATTGAATTGTACTGGGTCTTTTAAATGTAATAAATACTCATTATAACATTTTAAAAATATTTCTTTAAACATTAAACATACATTTCTGGATTCTGGTATCATCTGTTAATTATAGGGTTTATTAAGTCATTTATTGTGCACAGGTACACAAGAAGTCTGTGCACATCAAATAGAAAGAAAATCTTACCTTTAAGTCCTGTATTTTAGTTCCCGAGGTAATGGCACTTGCACCTCTTTCCTAAGCCTTCTCTTTTGCATGTAAGGATAGTTCAGATTTCATCTCTATCCCTGTCATTTTGTTTATTTTAACTTTTTCATGGACTTGAAAAATAAAATGTCAATTTAAAAAGATTTCCTTGCCTTTTGTATAAGAGGGCTGACAAAAATAGTAAAAAATTGGAAAGCCAATGATTAATGTTTTTAATATAATAGTCTCTTTAGGAGAATTACAAATGTTTTTTGAAATGTGAAATTTCAAGAAAAATTTCTGTGAAATTCATCACCCGTTTTCACTATGCATCCTGTGAAATAAGATACACTTTTAACAAAAAGTTCATCTTGATTGTGATAAGCTATTATTCTAATGAAAGAATCAAATGGTGCCATTAGAGTTCTTTCTGGAACAAGATGGTATACTATTTATAAGTAAAAGGATTCTATCACACCTACGAAATGTGGTTTGTCTCTATTACTGTGAAATAATACATACCTAAAAAAACCTCTGCAAAAACTTTTAAAATTATATATTCTTGTTTTTATTTCGATATTCTTTTTTATAGCTATAAAGTATACAAATAAAAAAGTTGAAAACACTCTTGTTCAAAAAATACCCTCTTTTTTAATACTCATTTTTCCTGGCAACAAGATACAACTGTCAAAAGAATCTTGTGTAACACATCACACTCCTCCTTCTGGATCTCCCCCAACATTATATGTTTCTGTCCATGATAGTCCGACTTTCTCTGAACACACACATTCTCCCTTCACAAAGCTTGAATATATATCAAATGTATATACTTGGCTGCTGCAGAAAGAATAGAGATAACCAATTTTATTAAGCCAAGTTGTTATTTAACAATTTGTATTGTCTCCCTTATATCTGAGAAATTTTTTCACTTAAATTAGTGCATGATTCCTTTTAATCTAACAAAAATTAGCTGGTAACCAACAATCAGGTAATCCCTTACTTGTTGGGTTGGCCAAAAACTCTGCTTAGTTTTTTCCATAAAGTAAAGACAAATGTTTCATTTTCACCAATAAGTTTATTGATTTGGATATTTTGGGTATGTTGCTATCGCCCCTGTGGTATAACATTGATTGTTCTCAGTTAATGTCTCAATTTTATAGCTGTCAACCTCAACTGGTCCACCTGACCATGGAGCATCATCCAGCAAGAAATCTCCAGCACAAAACTTTGCAAACCACTTTTGACAAGTTCTATCAGTCATGGCACCTTCTCCATACACTGCACAAATCTTTTTTTTTTTTTGTATTTCAGTTGTATTTGTATCTTTCTTGAAATAATAAAGCATAATATCAAAAGAAGGTGCATACTTTCTTCCATTTCCAATGTTAAAATGGCTACACAGAAATTAACCAATTTTGATAAGTTTTTTAATGCATGTGGATGTGACAGCTCACAATATAATCTAACAAAATTGTTTTAAATGAAGTTAAAACAACTAAGTGCTACTAGAGCCATTTTAAGGAGAAAACCAAAAGAACTTTTTGGCCACCCCAATATTTAAATGTCATTAGTAATTCACCAAACAACTTTTTTTGTACAAAGTTAATATTCCTTGTAGCTTAGGTTTTTTTAATGTAAGTTTTAATTTTCATAAGAAAGACATACCTTCATGGACTTATTTATATGTTTGATTTTTAACATTACTTCATGATCTAACAGTACAATTACAAAGATTAATGGAGAAAAACAATTTTAGAACATATTCCCCCAGATTTAGAGCAACACAGTGGACAGAGCAGAAAAAGCTGTTCCACAGTCTGTAGACACATTCTTTCATATAAAGATGTCTGATGGATCAAGAGTGGGCTAGACAGATCAGAGAATAGTGGAAGGTGAGAAGACAGACCCCAGGGGAAGGGATGCGAAGGGAGTCTTTCAAAGTTGCTAGTGGTGGTGTATTAAATAAAGCATGCTATTATCAATGTGATTTTAAGATGGAATTTGATGACAGGAGTTATGTAGTCACTTGCCTTTACATGTACCCAAATTCATTAAGAACTCCAAAGAAGAAAAATGATTTTATTCATGTTAAGGAAAGAAGGGGTGGGGAGTTTACCAGACAAGTTAGTGAGGAATCTCTACATAATAAGAACAGTCAGAATCACCCCCCAGAAGTAGACAGACACTGCTGGTGGGGAAGGGGAATGATTGTTTTAAAAAAGTAGGATCTGACTTGAGACTCAAATATGAGGATAAGATGTATATGAAAGTAAGATGCAACTTAACTTTGAGAATATAGCCAATTTAGATCTA